GCTTAAACTTTGCTCGGGCGGCACTTTAAAAGCCTGCTCCCAGCACCCGAGCAACTTCCCAGCAACTTTTAACTCGCGGGTGCTCGCGCCTCGCCCCGAGCCGCACGGCAGCCCGCTCCAAGCAGCCCGTCCCGCCCACCGGGCGGAACGCTTCCCGCTCCTCGGCAGGAAGACGCTCCTGCCTGCAAACTTTGCCTTTGCAAAGCCCTGGAAGCCCCGGAAACCCGAGCAACTTCCCAGCAACTTTCGGCTTCCTTTTAACTCGTGGGCGCTCGCGCCTGGCCCCAAGCCGCGCGGCGGAGGGGAAGCCCGGCGGGCGGGCAGACGGACTGCTTGGAGGAGGCTCCGGGCTTCCCCTCCGCCAGGCACGAGCGCCTGCGAGTTAAAAGGAAGCCGAAAGTTGCTGGGAAGTTGCTTGGGTTTCCGGGGCTTCCAGGCTTAAACTTTGCAAAGGCAAAGTTTGCAGGCTGGAGCGTCTTCCCGCCGAGGAGCAGGAAGGGTTCCGCCCGGCAACTTTCGGCTTCCTTTTAACTCGCGGGCGCTCGCGCCTGGCCCCGAGCTGCGCGGCAGAGGGGAAGCCCGGCGGGCAGGCGGGCTGCTTGGAGGAGGCGACCCGGCGGTGCTCCGGCAGCAGCAACAGGCAATTTCGCCCGGGCTCTGCTCAGGTGTCCGGCTGGGGCTGTCAGGAGTTGCTATCGCCGGCGCAGCTCCGCGCAGCTCCAGTCCTGCGTTGCCTTGGGAAGGAAAAGGCAAAACCAGGAGCCGCTGAGCCTGAGCCTCCGGTGCCGCTGCTCCCGTTGCAAAGCACCGCCGCGGCTCTTCCTTTTTGCCTTTCCCTTCCCGAGGCAACGCGGGACTGGAGCCGCGCGGAGCCGCGCCGGCGGTAGCAACTCCTGACTCAGGGGGCCTCCGAGGGGAGGGGAAGGAGGAGAAGAGGGGGGGGGAGGGTGGGGGGGGGCGATTCCCAAAAAATCTTGTGCTGACCCGGCCCGTCTGTCAAATTTTAAAAGTCAATGCGGCCCCCGAGCCAAAAAGTTTGCCCACCCCTGTACTATGCCATACTGCACTGGGGAACCAAATGACAGATATGCAACTTACCAACTATGTGACTCTAGGTCAGCAACTAACTCTTAATCTAATCTATTTCATATAATTCCTATAAGGATAAAATGAAGTGCATGTGAAGAGAATTTCATATGAATGCATGAAGGAGGTTAGGATGGGTGTATATTACTTTCCCATTAATATAACAAATGGTAAGAAAAAGTCAAGGTCAAAACCTTTGGACAAGATCCATGATGCACACTATTCAGTATTCATAGCATGAGAGATCTATGGTGCAAACATAGTATTCATTGCTTGCATCACAACCTTTTAGCTTCAGCTCATGCCTTCTAAAAATATGCTATCATTCAGTGATGCCTCAAGATGCTCATTGAGCATGTAAGATAAATGACTGAAGGGATTTTTTAAATATATATACACCACGTGTATGTGTGCATAATTTTTTTCCAGGGATATCTATTTGCTAACTTTCCTATTCTTTCTTCTAGTCCTAATTTGTAACATGCTAGTCATGAAGTGAAGCACCTACCTGGTGTTGTTATAGGCACAAGGGGCACTGTAAAGAAAAATACAACAGAGATTGAGCGGGTATGAAATTTGTACCCTTTAGTCATCCCGAATTATTAATTAAGGTATTTCAAAATTGCATACATGTACGTTCACTGCCAATCAGTTCATCACTCTCTGATTCATCAGGATAAATTGCAGTAACTGAGATGTCATACAATGTGTCTGGGATTAGATTTTCAAAAAGTTGCGTATTTTCATCACCATTTAGAATCATCTTCAAAAATTATGAAGGAAAAAGAAGAAGAAAAATAGAAGTTATATACCATGGAATTAATGTATCAATCAGGAACATTTTTAATATGGTAAAGTATATCCTATAAGATATGCAACTGTTAGCCTTTCTCAAGGCACTAGAGAACCTGGTTGTTTCTCCAGGCATTCGCATTAGGTGAGTTCATGAGTTCTATTGTTACTGATGAGTTTTTCAGTAAGTGAGGTTATTGTTTATCTTTGGGTGCCAGGGCTTATATGTGGTGGGTTTTCAAACTACCTGGAGTGAAACTGTCTTCCTCCCCCCACCTCTCTCAATCACACTCACACACACAGACATACACATGTATATAGTTTTACATAACCAGTCCATTCATCTTCAACAGGTACCATCAATTCTGAATATCTATCTACCTATCATCTTTCTGAACCACCCATCTCCCTCAAAGAAGGGACCACTCCAAAAATACATCATAAACCATCATCTTCAATAAACAGATGCCACCAAGCTAATCAGCATTGGCCTTTACCTCTTTATGAATAATGGTATTATTCAAAAGGGTGAAATAAGGAACAGACCCTAAATTACAGATCAAGATCAAAGAGAGATTCAAGATGAGCCTAATAATTACTGCCCCGAAATCAGGATCCAATTATTGCAGCCTCACATATTGGAGAAAGGAGGAAGAAAAATTAAGTTTCTTGAAATTCCTTAGCTACAAATACATTCTCCACCATTCTGACAAACATGAATTTACTTTAAGGGTCAATCTTTGGGGGCTGGTGGGCACCTCTAGAATTTTGAAAACGTATTAAAAATTCTCTCAGAAATGACTGCAGTGGAGATTGGTTATTTATAAAATAGTTACCACAATGAGAGTAACCATCACAAGACATCTTCTTACCAGAAGAGGTAAGATTGCTTCCAATAATCCTCTCTAGATGAGGCTGGAGGCTGATACTTTTTTTGTAGCACAACAGGTTCCCATCTGTTTATCTTTCAGTTAAATATATTTTAAAATCAGGTTTAGGAGGGAGCCTTATATAGTAGTAGCCAAGAAAATATCCATAGACACATAGGCATATTGATAAGGGCATCTCAGACTTTAATTATGAGTAAATGTAACTGCTTAAATTTCATATAATCACTGGATTAACATTTCCACACTTGTTGAATTTACTCATTTTCAAGAATCTAAAAATTCCTACCTCCTGTTTGTCAGGTTCACCATAAGGCCCCCACATTATTCTGTAGAGAGCTACATCAGGTGCTCCATGATCCCAAGTACCTCTGAAACTAGTTGTGGTTACTTGATCTGTTCTCAAATTGAGCGGTGCTGGTACAGGTACTGTAAAGTGGAAAAGAAAGAGAAAAAGTCTATGCATATAAACTAAATGACTAGATAACAGAAATTTACTGTATAAGACCTTTTTGTTCTGTGTGTAACAACATGGGAATATACACAATAATTTCTCCACTTAAAACAATCTTCACTTTTTCTAAAGCTTCACATATATCAAATGTTGCTATGGCTAATATTTACACATGGCAAGTTCAGGCCCATGAATGCTGAGAAAGACTCAACAAGTCAAGTTTCAAAACTCTGTTTCAATGCTTTTTAGAAAGGGAAAAGCTTCCTCCACTGGAGACAATGGATGCCCCCAACCCCACCTGAGCCACCACAGGTGCCCCGACACGAGTTATGTTGAGGTGACCACACCTACCCTGGTCACACCGATCCCGGTCATGTCCATCCAGCCCCTCCCCGAGGTCAAACACAACCCTGATGCAGCCCTCAATGAAATCGATTTTGACACCCCTGATCTACATGTTAACTCAGACAACAAAAACCACACATCATCTCCACAAAACCACATCCCCAATTTTCAATGACTTTCATCATTTTATTATCAAATAAAGTTTACCTTGGAAACAGCAGTGGAAACACATGCTCAGCTCAAAGAGACTGGGGCACTAAAGAGTTCTGATTACGCAAACTCCATAGTCAGGATTCCCATGTGGTGACAAGAAACAACAATATTGCCCTAGACAGCTTCCAAACACAACTTAAGGTACCAGTGTTGCCCAACTTTCCTTAAAAATATTGAGAGAATACATAAACTAAGCAATATATTTGGGGCTACCCTTGAAAATGACTTGAAAGCAGAAGTTACTAACAGGGCAAAGTGTAATTTCAAGGTAAAACTAACACACACTGAAATATCACATTGCTTATGATATGGAACACACAGCCTTAAAAGAAAATCTGCCAACCCAGTGGATTAATCAATGTGGTAGCCAGATCACACACACAAAAGCAAAAGAAGGAATGCAAAGAGAACAATTTCTTTTGTAGAATTTTTTTTTTGCTTGTGGTGGCAATGCAAACCCATATGCAGAAAAAAAAAAAGAAATGAAATGAAAAGAGCAGAAAGCAGGTACTGAGGAAAAAAACCTGACTTTGGATGACAGTTATTAGCCATGCCGAGATCTCTTAATGATGCACTTCAAATTGTGAGTAAACTTTATGGTACCATTGCGTTTGAAAGGCTATAGCTGCTTCAAAGACCATTATGATTTGTATCTGGATATACTGTATTTCAAGCAGATTCTTTGTTAGCAAACATATCAGCCAAGCAACAAATGAGCCCCTTGATAGAAATATCATCAAAGCACTGATACTCATACACAAAGGTATGCAAATGCAACACACAACTCTAGCTATCTATTTTAGCTAATACAGCTACAACGTTCTAATGTATTTCCAGCAGAACCATCTATAAAACCATTATTTCAGGCCACACCCCTGTATGAGAATCTGAAGAAGCCCATTAAGCAGCAGCATAGACTTACAAGTGGTGGCTTCTGCTGCTACTGGCACAGACAGCCCTTCGTCATATTCTGCTACAAGTTCTACATGGTAGAGTGTTTTTGAAAAAAGATCAGGAAGAGGCGTGCTGGTTTGAGATGGATCCACTTTTATCTGCATAAACAAATTAGCCAGATTTCTTTCTTAGCACTTATTTTTCCCAGGCAGTAGGAAGTTTATTATTAATAATATATTAATAACAATTACTGGATATAACTATGCAATATATTTATTTTCAAACAAACTACGCTATCAGATGTTAAACTCCATATATTATCTGGGATTTGTTTCAAACACTGAAAGAACAAAATTCTACGCTTCTCCAATATGTGGCACTTTCTTTATTTAATCTGTTTGAGAAATGCAACGATACTGCTATTTGTAGCTGTTCAAACTGGTATGTGGAGTGAGCACCACATTCATTCAAATCCTAGGTTGACTCAGGCGGCTTCAAAATGCTACGGCTCTCACAATATATTTCCATGTGTCATTATGCACATGAGAAAAAAATCACATTATGTGAATATCATAAATCACAATGAATTTAATTTGTTGCCTGACAATCCCATTTCCATTGCACCAAGATAAGGCAAATCAACTTTTCACAGTGGTTATTCTCCCTGTTTATATTACATTTTCTAAATGACGGAATCAGAATAAAACTAAAGCTTGTTTATTTTTTTATACAGCCTGATTTTCCATCTCTATGCTAATGTTCCCATTTTTTAAATGTTACCTTGAAAGCGCCCTCTTTTTTTGCTATGCAGTTTCATGTCTCATCCAATTAAGATTTCCATTTTGCTTATAATAATAAGATCCTACTCATCATATAGTATAATCACAGTATATTTAAAGCCAAAGAAAGTAAAATCATTTGAACTTTACAGATCGCACTCTTTGGCTCCTATTTACTTCTTAACAACTTATAAAATGATCCTGATTAAATATTTAATGTATTTTCACACACAGATTTACCTCTTTTATTTCATCTTCTTCAGCTGCTTTATATTTCACTATGTAATTACGAACTTTTCCTGGAGCACGATCCCAACTGACTTTCATGCTGCTGTGAGTGATATCACTTAGCCTTAATCTTTTTGCTCCACTTAAAGGTACTGAAAAACAAATATAGTATTGTCCAAGTTCTTAGATAATATTCCTCTAAATAAATAGATAGTTAGATAAATAAATAGCTTACATATAGCCAACCTATCCTATGTCAGATATCTAGATGACATCTTCACCATAATAAGGAAGGATCAATTAGAGAACACCCTAACACCAATTAGAGAAATCCTTAAGACCGCTCCCACCCACAGATACAGGCAAAACACCAGAATATAAACTGAGAGCAAACCCCACTCCTTACTAGCACTGATGGTGTTACCTAGTTAGGGTAATGGAACATCTGCAAGAACACACACACGCTCAGAGAACACCAAAGGACCCCCTCATTTCAACCCTGAGCTACAAATATTCTCCTTTGTTGGCAACCTATCCTACTCTGAATTTAATTTAATTATTAAATTAACACACCATCAATTATTAATTCATTAATTAATTTTTGAGTTTAAAAACTGTTGTGCAGAACTGCAGATGAAGACAACGTTTTTGAAGATAGTATCCCCACTGTTACCATTCAAACAGGTAATGTTATATATAATAAGGCAATTATCTTTCCATTTTCTGAGGAAAATACTTCCCCAAATCTATGCTATCCATGAAAAATAGCTATACTGTATAAATCCCCACTTGTTACTAGAAAAAGAATTCCAATGGTTGATGTTCAAGCTTAACATCGATGCTTTCGAAATACTCCATGCATCACTATCTTTTCACAAAAAGTTACTTAACCCTTTGAAAGTGTTTAAGTCACCAAATAATAATCCACGTTGGCTGAAATATCTAGGAAGTGCAATCCTATCAGAGCAATGGGACACTTTGTGGTAAGTGCTTACAACTGGCAGTAATTTACACTGCAGATATATGTAAAAGGGAGTTTGAAAATACTTTTTCAATCTAACAAGGTGTAAACTTTCATGAGCTCCTTCTGATTTTTGGCTATCATGGACTAACACAGCTGTCCACTTATAGGATCTCACAAATCACTAAGGCAACAGACAAAATATTTTGAAAAATGGTATTATTCCTACATGTGACTTCCTGAGTAGTGAGTGGATCACTAGTGAGGTCACCAAAAGTTGAATGAACTGTTAAAGTATACTCAGTATTTGGAATCAAGTCAACCAGCTGTACATCGGTCACTGATGCTCCAACCCGCATCTAGAAGAAATAAATATTTTAAAAAGTGTTCTTAGAAAGCATTTATTGCCCAGAGTTACCTTGAGGTAAGATGGGCGGCTTGTAAGTTTTATAAATAAGTAAATAAATTTACAGTTTCCTGACTTTACACCTGTTCATGCATTTGATTTTATACTATAAGCCAAATTATATCTCACTGTTTGGGTATATAGGAGCAAATATAAGTATTTTCTCTCTCTCTCTCGAGCTAGTTGTTACCTCTTTTTCAGTTGCTGGTATGGTGGCATTGACAGGTTCATATAATAACACATAGCCAGTTGCTCCTTTTACAGGTTCCCACCGCACACGCATCGTCCTTGAAGTGACATCATAAGCATTCAAGCTTCTCACTGCTGGGACTGGCACTGTGAAAAACATAAATATTCACTTCAGCTACTCACTCTACATACTTATTTCCCCCTTTATCTCCCAAACATTGGTCATTTCACTTCTTTCTGGTTTGTTGAAGTTGTTGGAGCTTTTACTTACTGTACTGAAGGATAATGAAGGATTGCAACATGGTGACCAACCAATTCAAACCCAGTCACATTCATTGACCCATGCAGACTTTGCTATTTGCTAAAGTTTGTGGAAACAAGATAGATGTTAAATAACCTGAAGCTTCTAATGTAGAGATTACCAATTTTCTTGTGACCAGCAGGATTTTTTTTAAAAAAAAAAAGCTTCCAAAGGCTTTTCTTTGATCTCATGCCTAGTAACACCACAATGTCATTGGAGTGGGCAGAGCCGATTTTGTTTAGCCCACCTTAGAAGGTGCTAACACATCCATTTCATCCTGTAACCCTCAAACTTTCCAACTACAAAAATAAATAAATATAAATACAGATTTAAATTGTTGGTGCTACCTAATCAAATGGTCTGGAAACCATAGACAAAAAATCCATGCAGGGAAAGAGGAAGATTGAGTAGCTTCATGGTGGCCAGGCAGCAGAATCCAGATGACTCATCCTTCCTCTGGCATAGGGCCAGTGAGACATTTCTAATTTGGTAGATAACCATTGCATAGGTCCCTATTAAAAAAATATAACACTCCTTTGGGAATAATTTATCAAACTGAATATCCCATGCCTGCTTAGGGATCAGGATGATAAATAATGGTCAAAAACAAAACCTATAAAGAGTCAATTTTATTAAGCAATTGCTTCATGTGACTGACTCTTATTTTTATGTAATTTTGAAAAGTCATTCTCTGTTCTATGGTCTGAGCACCAATAGGCAAATGCTTTTTGCTTAATATGTCACAGATATTAGGATTCCAATATTTTTTGTTTTAAATCCTGGACTCCTTTTAACTAAGACAATGGACATGTTAGGAGGTTATGATTTTTTTAAAAAAGAGCATGTGTCTTATTTATGGTTTATGTATCTTCATTTGTTCTTTCATTCAATTTACTGTATATGAACCACCCAAAGTGCAGCACATCTCTAGGCAATTAACATCTGCTTGAAAGCCACAAACATTTCAAAGCAAACACTAATGCATATCACATCTGAGGCCACTCACATGTCTATCTACTCCCTCTCCCCCAAACATTGACTGGAACCAGCTTCAGATGAAAGAGAAGAACCACTGCAAGCCTGTGCCGCATAAATCCCAACCCCCTGACCTGCTCTAGATGTAACCAGGATTAATGGTATCAACAGCCACTGAGAGATAGAGAGACCATCAAACATAACCCTTAAGTGCCACTTCAGTACTGTGTCCAAATCTGGAACTAGATCCTGATCCATCTCTGTCTCTCTGCATTCAGTGAGGGCAGCTGAAACTTCCCTAAGTCTGAGAAGTTCCACAAGCAATATAGCCAATGTCAAGAAACTCAAATAGGAGAACTACTACACAGCAGGGAAGGTGTTGCAGTAGCAACAGTCCCATCTGACCTCTAGAATTTCACAAAGATGATTTCTGATGACTATCCAGAATTATCCTTCTGAAAGCCACCAGTTTCCCAGGTGACTATGGACATTCCATCAACTCTGCCTTGGGGATGGAACAAGTGCAACACTTGAAACACTGAACAAATTTCTGAAACATCTCAACTTCTCACCCCCATCGGTCATATCCAGGTCTCTTGGGACAGGATTCAGAGGACTGCAATGTGAAACTTTTACATACCAGCTTCAATATCATCGATGGAGATTCTCAATCATCCCGGTCATGGTTGTCCCAAAGGTGCTTTTCCAAAAAGGCAACTGGACTTCCTTCATTTTTTCCTTTGAAAACGTTTGCTTCTCATTCAAGAAGCTGAAACTGAAGAAGCTTTTTGGATGAGAATGAAAACATTTTTAAAGGGGAAAAACAACAAGAAAGTCCAGTTGCCTTTTGGCAAAAGTACCTTTGAGCCAGCTTTCAATATCCTTCGCCACCAATCTCCTAAGGTCAGTCACTCACCAAACAGAAAGTAAAGGAAGTTTGCCACACATTTTATTAATATTATTTGCATGCACCAACAATTATTCAAAATGTCTATTATTTTGGAATGTTCACTTACATGTTGTTTCGGTCCCTTTTAATGGTTCACTATTAGTGCCTTCTACTATAGAAAATACATTCACAACATATTCTGTTTCAGGCTTGAGGCCAGTGAGAACAGTAGTGGTCTCTGAACGACTTACAAAGACCTGAATAAAAATAAATAAAACAATAGCACATGTAATTGTACATATTTCATAAATAAAATATACATAGTTATTATCTTGGTTCAGGTACTAAATAATTTAAAATAGAACTTAAGTTGTCCCTGTACCAGATGTAATAGTATATATCTGATGCCAAAAGCTATAGAATATGAATTATTTGGAAAATTAGGATGTGTAACTCTTAACCCACTTTGGTAAGTTTCACTACATCAAGACTGAAATCTATTTGGAATATGCAATCACAGAAGACAGTCTCTATGTGAGAATTTAAGGGCTGTTTCAAATACATACTGCATTGAGAAACCAGCCAACTGTGGCTCTAAAAACAGGAATATGAATATATATGTACACACATATGTATTTATAAAATTGCAACATATGAAAGAATAGTAATAGATATTATATCATAAACATATATATGAAAATAGGAAAGGGAAAAAGATAACAATTACATGCAGTAAAAGCTCTATCTACTATATACTTCTCTTCAGCTACAGAGTTTTCCCTTCCTCCCCTCCCACTCTTGGGCTTCTTCTGATCATGTCTATTATTTGCTAATGGTTAAAAATGCTCCTAAGTATTCTGGATGTCTGGATGTAATGGCATCCAGAGAATTATGGTAGGATGAAAGCTGCCACATGGAAGTTATTATTTTTATATAATCAATTCCTGCAATAGCCAGAAGATCAACTTAAGCACAACAACCAAGCTATAGGGAAAATAAGCATTAAATGAATGCCTATAACTAATCAATCCCTTCTGTTTAATACCAATCCTTACTTGATTGGACTGGTTAAATAATACAGTACGAGGACTCTGCTCCAAAGGAGGCATCCATTGTTATTGTTATTAGTATTGAGTAATGCTAATGCGGGCCCAGGAATTCTGGGAGTTGAAGTCCACAGGTCATAAAGGTGCCATAGCTGCCTACTCGTTATAAAATACAGAGTGTCTCTTCTTCCTGCACCCAATCCAGACTAGCAGTCCCAGCCATTCTGAACCAGTATCAATAAGGTATTACTAATGCCTTTCTCTGTTTTATTTGGCACTACGTAACAAGGAAACATTTTGCTCAAGTACTTTGAGGATAGTTTTAAAACGTATCCAGCAGCCACCAATGCATGCATATATTCGCCATAAGTTTTAGTCAGAAACAATACATCTGTTTCCATTTAATCCTACTCTGGTGCTTAAAATTCTATTTGTTGATTAATGTGAAATGCACACATATGAATAAACTGTAGTGACTGATGAGCAAGCCTTTATTTCAAAATTTAGGGATCTAATCTAAGCAAACTAGCTTCCCTCCCCCCAAATAAGAAATAAAATAATAAAATAATCTGTCTCCAAATCTGACCTCCTGTGGTGTCCCTCCTCGGGTAGGGTAATATTCAACTCTGTATCTATCCACACTCTCGGTGGGTGCAGTCCAAGACACCCTAAATGAAAGAGGGGTCACTTCAGAAGTAACTAGATTGGTGGGTGGCAGAGACAAATCACCTGTTGGGAGAAGAAACAAATGGAATTTAGGTTAAGGAAGTCTTGATGAGAAGATTTGCCAGGGATGAATCACAATCAAAGCAACAAAATACAATATATAAAGAAGGTTTTCCTTAAGTGCATAAGAACACTTTATTATAAAGTATTTATTATTTCAATATTAAAGCCATTTACACATCGAATGGAGCGTATAGGAAAACAAACTGCACACAATGAGAGAAAATTTGAGCAATTGGACAGTGGAAGTAATGACCTGGAGCACTGGTATTTATCTTCCCTTTGTTGGATATATTCAAACAGAAATTGAACCTGTGAAAATGCTTTAGGGCAAGGGTCTTCAAACTTGGCAAGTTTAAGACCTGTGGACTTCAACTCCCAAAATTCATGAGCTAACATGACTGGGGGAGGAATTCTGGGAGTTGAAGTCCACAAGTCTTAAAGCTGTCAAGTTTGAAGACCCCTGCTTTAGGGAGAAAACAAAAGAATCATATTGGACTTAACAGCCTTAATCTTCCATTTCAGATTCTGATCAGACAAGGAATCCTAATAAAAATCATTCTGTGACTGCACATTTTAGTATGTGTTACTTCCCTAGGCATATATGAAATACATATGGGTATAGACATTGTATGCCAAGTGAAAACAAATACAAAAAGAATATATCGACCAAATAAATGAATATCTTGTTCAAAAACTCTGCTTGACCACATTCCAAGAGAAATTAAGCAGACACCTTTTTCTTAAGCACAAAATAAAACCCCAAAAGGGTAACATACCTGATCCTTTCACGCTATTGCACAAATTGTTGGTGACACTATCAACAATGTTAACCAGAAGGTTAAAATCTTCAACATTGAAAGCATGCGTGTCATCCGGGTCACTTGCAATCTGCTTCAGTTCATTCACATCCGCATTTTTAATACCTTAAAAAACACAAGATAATACATTTTAATTATTTGTCAATTGTATTTGAAAAATCATTTAAAGATGAGTGAATTATTATATTCCAACCCCTTTCTGTACCGATTGCCTCTTCCCTTGATACTCACCGATAGCAAAGATCTCCACTCCTTGTTCCTTCAATCTGTCTGATGGAACATTTATGTCATCCTGTGATTTGCCATCAGTAATGAGGACAGCAATTTTTTTAGCTCCAGGCCTCAAGCCAGCTTCAGTCTTAAAATTGTTTCTTAAGATGAAGCTCAAAGCCATTCCTGAAATCACATATACGCATATAGAAAATGAGGAACTTTTTTCTGCTCAGAAAGTAAACCTCCAAAAATATTATAGTCTAATTTATTAGGAGACACATCAGTTCTTCCTCATCTACTTTGAAGCCTTTTATACTTTCCTTTTACTAGAATCATAATTCTATTCTTGTGAGACTATAGGTTGCCACATAAGGTATCTGTTCCTGGCCCATTCACAACAGAAGAAGCAAAACCTCCAATACAATTACCAAAGTCTCTCACTCCTACTTGGGGATCATTATAGACTGAGATGGTTTCTTTCATAGGATAGGAAATCTGAGGGCTGGAGTATTAAAAGCACAGTGATACTATACTCTAGGAATATATAATTTTGCGAGTTGTTTCCCCCCCCCCACCCCCCAGTATAACATATACTGAAAAAATGAATAGCAAAAAAGAGAGCCAATTTGGTCTAGTGGTTAAAGCACCAAGCTAGAAAGTAGGAGTTCAGGTTCTACTCTAGCCATGAAAGCCAGCTGGGTGACTTGGGGCCAGTCATCTCTCTCTCCAACCCATCTCACAGGTTTGTTGTTGTGGGGAAAATAGGAGGAGGAGGAGGAGGAAGGTGTGTTGGATAAGTTTACTGCTCAAATTATTTGTTAAAAATAATAAAGGCAGGAAATAAAGAAATAAAGACATACATACATACCTGTAAGCGTGTTGCCTCCTTTATATGGCAAATTGGACACAGCATCCAATAAACGCTGTTTGGTTGGGTGGGCATTGAGGTTCCATTCTGTTCTTGGATCTCCACTATATTGTGCAAGAGCTGGGGAGAAAATGTAGTGTAATTACGAATGGTCTTTGAATAGCACAACTCAAAATATTCCAATTAACTTCAAAACTTACCAACTTGCACTCTGTCTGGACCAATATCAAATATTTGAACGATGCTACCAATAAAGCTCCGGATTGTTTTAAAATTTGTTCGACCAATGCTCCAAGAGCCATCCACCAGCAATACAATATCTGCTTCAGTTCTGGTTTTACATTCTAAGCCTATTACAGCAATCATAATATATCTCAGTTAGTTACAAACAACTTTTTTCTCCAATCCCATCTTACAATATATGTAACGAAGATTTTAATTAACTTGACATTCTTCTATGTATGTTTTAAATTAACTGAAGTTCTTATACGATCACTTCATTTCTTTCTAATAATGAAAAAGATGTCCAAGGGTGCATAAATTATTAATGTAAAAATATTGTCATATGTACTGCATACTGATTAGATGGAATATAAACACAATTTCATAATAGAACTATGAACCCTAAACCTAACTAAACTTAAGTAATCAACTATTACTTCTGCATATTCATCAGTTAAAATCAAGAAAAAATGTCTAAATTATAGGTATAAGCAACTATTTTTAGAGCTTAATAAATATGCATAACACAGCACATTAACAGCTATATATGCTAATAAATGCAGATGGTGCAGATATTTGCACATTTAAATCACAAAAGGAAGCACAACACAAATAAGGTAACAAGAAACAAACACATAAAAGAATAGAAGTGACAAAAACACACATTTATAAAAGTATTAAATGCTTAGAAAGAAAACAATGCTAGGAATTTTCAATGTATGAGAATAAAAATAAGTGTTCACTTTCCATATGTTGGAAATGACAGTGTATTTATTACAAAGCAAAAACAGCAGTTATTTAAACAAGCCTTTCAACAACTATTGTAATTGTTTAAAATGCATTCTTCTTCCTCTTTGCTCTGAAGTTCATGTTATCAGCTGCAAAACATTCTGGCCTCGTGCCATCTTTATATGGAAGGAATTCCACTGAGTAAAATCAAGCACATTCATCAGACTTAAGATGGGGTTCATCTATGTTTCACATCATTGCTCCAATATTCAGATTTATTGAGCACAGCTAATCCAGGGACCTGAAGATTTAAACGTATGACTTTCTTCTGCATAAAACAATAAATTCTGAACTTTAATCAATACAAATAACATAAATCAGATAACAGAATATAGCTTACAAATCATGCATTCTGGATCACAATCAAAAAGATGCGTATCTATTCCATGCCACTCCACATATTTCAATGCCATGGGAGCAATACTGGGAATGGAGGTATCTAGAATATGTGCTGAAATGGCAGACCAAAATAGCCCCAAAGATTGTGCGGAATTGGGCATGCAAACAGACTTTCTGTAATTTGAAAGATCTTCCAAATGGAAAAATCAAAGCTACCTGTTATATAGAGATTTCTTCTTTTCCATTTGGGAATTCTGACAGATAAACTCTATGGTTTTACATAAAGAGAGCACGCTTTAAAATACCGTCATATAGAGATACTACTACCACAATGTTTCTATAAAAGCTGTTACTTCATTCAATAAACACCATGCACTGTATTCCTCGTTAAAACTATATTTACCTGAATGTAATACTGACACATCTGGAGTATCTGCAAGTGTTGTCTTTTCTTCTCCAATCAGAGGCATACTTTCACCTCCTTCAAACATTCCAAATACATTTACTTTATAGGAAGTGTCTGCCCTGCATGATTGAAAGATAGATGTGTGCTATATACATTAAAGCAAACTGGTTTGTGCAGATTCTTTCACTTTGTTTTTTCCCCTAGCATGTTTAAAAAGTGAGAACATATATGCTTGCCCCCTCCACCAACAGAGACGGAGACAGAGAGAGACAGAAAGAGAGAGATTAATACCACAACAATCCCATAAAATATGATTAGGCCAGCGGGGATAGGGTCTCCACTAAAATAATTGAGAAAATTTGGGGTCTGTAATAGGGATTGGAATCTCAGTTGCTCAATTCCTAATCCAGATGCTCAAACCATTATACCATAACAGGTTTTCTTCAAATTTTAGAGAATCAGAGGGAATTAAGTAGTAGGCTTTCTGAAATTTTTGCTAGCGTTCATCAGATAAGACTGGAGGTGTAATGCAGTGATTTTATTGCAGCCCACTATAGCTCAATAGCGTTTAGTATTATATTTCAATTGTTTCAATAGGACAATTATATTCTAGCCATTGTATGAAACATATATATTATCCAGCAAAAGGAATCAGAGTTCTAAGACTCAATCTCATCTTCTAGTGAAACTAGAGAAATTTATTGAATTTTTTATTGAAAGATTTCACACCTGCAGTTCTGTCTTCAGTAATTAGGGCAGCTTTCAAAATAGATTTAAAAAAAAAGACAGGTAAGATTAAGATGGGAAGGGATTTCAATAAACATTGCTTACATTTTTCTGTATTAACAAGAAAATACTGACATTGAACGAAGTTATGATTGGCTTACCTCAGCTCCTCTAATACAACAGTATTGTCATACGGCCCAAGTACTAATTCACCAAGTTGTCTGTTTTCTCCACTTGGGTGGAAAGTTATTTTGTACCCCTTAACTTCCCCAGGGGCTGGCTCCCAGGTTACACGAAAGCTTGACTTTGTAGGATCTGAAGTCTGCAGATTTCTGGGTGGTTTAAATGGAGAAGCTAGAAAAGTCAAACAATAGTCATTGAATCCAATGTGAGCTGTACCCACTGGATAAATACGTAAGGGGCACTGTACGTATTTCATAAAGCGAAGAGCAGCTTCAAAATTTTATTGAGACAGATCCAACCGTGTCAGATACATGTTTTTGCTTAGGTTGTAATATTTCTTTTCCTTTCAAGTCTTCAAAAATCTTTGAAGTCTTCTGAAGTAGATTTTTAGAGCATTCAGACAAAGCTGGAGAGGAAGGGGCTTAAAACAATACCCTATTTTGTCTTACTTATAAAAGCAATATCATCTATGGCAAGGGTGTCAAATTTGTGGCCCATGGGCTGGATGCATCATGTGTTGGCCACGCCCACTCCCAGTTTAGCAAAGGGGAAAAAAGTCACAATATGTCACATGACGACAACGTGACACCCTGAGTTTGACACCCCTGATCTATGGAATAACTTAACTGAATCCATACAATCAGAGGGGGGAAAGGATTCTATCAGCACTGGAAGCCTTACACCTGCACTTAATATTTTCAAAAAAATAAGACATCCACCCAGAGTTACTTTTTCATTCTGTAATTATTTCAAGATAATTTTAGATAATTTATTATTTCTGCTGCTGCTGCTGCTGCTGCTGCCTTTAAAGATGTGGTGTCCATTTTGCAAAAACAATAAAGCAAATGAAAAAAAAGCAATTTCAAGACAAATATGGGAACTTAACTACTTAACAATTGAACAAATACAGTAGTGGTTTGGTTGATGCCAAATACAGTAGTTGATTCGGTATTTAGTATCAACTTGCGAAGGCTCACTGGAAGAAAGCTGATTTATTGCCTGCATTACAAATATTAAAATAAGATGGAAAACTTAAAAAACTGTATCTGCTAATTAATGCAATTTCAAATGGATTAAGATCTAAATTTCTTTTCCAGGATTATACAGAAATACATGTGTGCACCTGGAAACAGAGGTTGACAGCTCATAGCTCTTATAAAATATGCTATAATCCTATAAGATTATGCCTTAAGTTTGCTTCCAAGGTGCCAAAATCATGTGTGGATTTTCACTTCAGAAGCAATTCATTATTACTTTTCATTATTGACAGGTTACAATGGTAAATCTTTAGGACACTTTAAGGTATCCAATAAGCAGTGCAGCATATGAAGATTAAATGGCACTGGACGTAAGGTACAAAATAAGCAAACATTAAGTTCCTTCTTAACTCAACTGTTTTTTTCCTATTTCAAGCTATCCCATCCATATATGTGTGGTTTTTCTTTTCTTTTTTAAACTAAAATGGCATGCGTTCAATCTCAAAGTGCAAAAGCCAAGAATTTTGGTAAGGGATGAAACAGAAGTACTATTGCTTTTTAAACTCCCAAGCAGAAAGTGCTTTAGAATGCCAAATACTATATTTAGGATCTTAGGGAGAAAAAGAATAATCACAGAATGCTCAGAATGTAACTCCAAGATCCTATTAAGGATCAAGGATCCTATCCTTTCTCATCTCATTCAAAATCAGCCTGAAAATACTTCTTATAATTGTTTCAAACTACAGCTTCTGAGGCAGCAATCAGAAACCTACGCAAGACGTTCCACCAGTACCAGACAGTAAGAATAATTGTAAGAGATTGTAGAGGTCCAGCAATAATTAAAGGGCCAGAGTTCTCTAACCCTTCCCTGAAGGATGAGCAACAGATTTAGTACACTGTTCTACGAGAGATCTTCTACTACTGAACTTCTAACCATAGATTCTATATTTCAAATACATGGGAAAGCTTGAGATTCTCATAGTTCCTCTTGTGTTTCCGGGTAATCAGGACAAAGGGGCAAATTAAATGAACAATGTTACAGTCTTAGGACAGGGCTATCAGATCTAGGCCGCAAATATATGGGCTGCTAAAAGGGCAACAACAATACCATTCTTTTTTTGCTACCTTCCAATGGTCATTTGAACTTCAGACAACATCTAGTAGCCCTACTTTAGGAGTAATTTACTGAGGCACTTAAAAATATTTTTTGTTAGCTACTCAGTTAGTTACACAGCGTCAGTTGAAGGATATATGATGCCCCTAGGCCATATTGACTGATATGTGCTTAAGTTAAACCCATGAACAGATAGTCTTCGGTTTACAATAGTTTATCTACTGACTATTCAAAGTTACAATGGCACTGAAAAAAGGAACTTATGACCGTTGTTCACACTTACGACCACTGCAATATCCCCATAGTCATGTGATCAAAATTCGGATGCTTGGCAACTGACTCATATTTATGATGATTGCAGCAACCGAGGGTCATGTGGTCCCCTTCTTACAAGCAAAGTCAATGGGGAAACCAGATTCACATAACAACTGTGTTACTAAACAGCTGCAGTGATTCATTTAACCACTGTGGCACGAAAGTCGTGAAATGGGACAAAACTCACTTAACGAATGTTTCACTTAGCAACAAAAATTTTGGACTCAATTGTGGTCGTAAGTTGAGGACTACCTGTATAGAAATTAAGTGGCATATTAGAGAATAGAAATTTCTGTATAGAAATTAAGTGGCAAATTATGAGATTACTAAACACATGTGAAATAAGATGGGCAGGAACAAGTACACTGAAGAAAAAGATTCAAGGCTTCGTCACAATTTGGGCCAGAAAGACTCCTTATTATGGCCTCATTTGCTGTGAATTATTATGGGCTACCTTCTATCGTGCTCCAGCCAATCAATTACAATTAATTGAAGATTAACCCGAGGATTAGTTTAGTTTTTGCACTGCCTCTGCAAGGGCAGACAATTTATAATGCATCTGTGAAGGCCAACCCTTAGCACCACCTAGGGAGGAGAAATGGCAGCATTTCCAGGCAACTGGCAGGTAGGGCACATATTTAACAGTAGTTTAAATAATAAATAAGCCTTTAAAATAAATAAATAAATATATAACATATTGCAATCTTTTAAACTAGGTACGTTTGGACTTGTTGTAAACTTCATACATTTTGGCTACAGTAATCTATCATATACACATATATACTTTTTTTAAAAAAAATATGCACCTGTTGTTCCTTCGCCTTTTCTATGTTTTCCTTCCCCAGTTTTATACATTGGAATGACAGTGATATCATAAGTAGTAAGAGGTTGGAGACGTTTCAATACTGTGGAAGTAGAAGTCGGAGGCACTTTTGCAACTATTTGTCTTCCTCCTCTACGGGGTCGGTAAACCACACGATAGTTGATCACTTTTCCAGGTGCTGGTTGCCAAGTGACTCTCATTGTGGTCTCTTTCTCATCATCTACTGTAATAGTCCTTGCACCAGGTGATACTTGAAAGAGTTAAAAGAAAAATTTCAAAATGTTGTTTTTTCAAAACTTCATTTATTCAATAAAAGAGTCACCAAATAGTCTTCAAAGTAACTCAATACTGGAGTTGCACTAATTCTGTATACATGTCCCGCTTCCTGCTTCCTTCCAAAGAACACACATGAATGAATACACACACACACACACGATGTAAATGGGAGATAAATGTATTCAGGGATCACTACCAAGTTTAGGGAGCTCCACAATTTTTCCTGGATTTGTATTTACTGAATTTGAAGCCAAGCACGAAGCAATATGCTCCACAATATTTTGAAGAATGATCCCTCATATGTACAACTTTTTGATATTTTTTTCATATTTGTACTTGGTTTTCTCCAACCCCCCCCCCCCAAAAGTCCTTTTCTACTCCCATGATTATAATAACTTAAACAGTAAATAAGAACATGTTATTTGTACCATGTTCAAATATTTGTATTTAAGAGGCTGCCACAAAGAGGAGTGGGGTCAACTTATTTTCCAAAGCACCAGAGTGCAGGACAAGAGACAATGGATGGAAACAAATCATGGAGAGAAGCAACCTGGAATTAAGGAGAAACTTCCTAAGGGAGGACAATTAATCAGTGGAACAGCTTGCCTTCAGAAGTTGTGGGTGCTTCATCACTGGAGGTTTTTCAGAAGAGACTGGACAGTCACTTGTCTGAAATAGTATAGGACCTCCTGCTTGAGCAAGGGGCTGGACTAGAAGACCTCAAAAGTCTCTTTCAGCTCTACTCTGATTGATATACAAGATGTATTCTCTCCAACATCTTGGCCCAACATTTTAGATTTATTCAGAATATGTTGTTTTAATCTTCTTTTATTCCTCTTTTTTCCTCCTGGTTTCAAATTCTTAAAAGAATCTGAATGCCACGGTTAATTACTTCAGCACTATTAGACCAATCTTTCTTAAAGATCAAAGGCATGCATAAAAACAGTATCTACATTTATGGTTGACTGGAAACCCCTTTTTGCATAAAATGAAAAAATGCACTTTATGATTTGTGGTTTCAATTATTAACAAGCTGGATAATACAAAAGGGTGAGTTTTCTTTTATAGTTATAGAGTAAGACAGCTTTGTAATTCTATTTTCTGCAAAAGAAGTTGGAAGGTTCTTTCTATTTTTTTCTTCTTTCTGCCCTTTTTTCTTTTCTCTCTCTTTTCTTTTTATTAGTTTATGTTAGTGTTTATGTTCTTTGTAAAAGTTTCAGTTAAAAAAATAATAAAACAGCATCAAAGGCATGCACAAGCTTGAACTTTCCAGCCCAGAACATCTGGAAAGTCATGAATAGAAATAACAAGAACTAGGGATCATATTATAAGGGGGATAGTTCCACCTACCAAATCTTAATTTTCTAACTTCAGTAGGCTGTTCAAACACACCCACACAAAATAATACAGAGGTGTTTTTTTTTTCCAAAATATTTCAATCCTTGATCATCAGTCTTTGCAACTGAAATCTCCTAATTAGAACAGTACCCGGTGCTTTTAAAAATAAGTGGGCAAGCTTCAGACACATCAAAATTGAGGTTAATCTAATCATGTAAATATTAATTAGAGTTGCTCTAACCAATTTAACTTCTACTTCTAGTGTCAAAAATTTTAAAGATATTTAGCAGATAGGAAGTATAAATCAGAATTAAACCACATTTTGAAGTTAGATCTTAATTTTCTTCCTTTGTTTTGGATGCACAGGTATTTCTTTAATTATTTCAATGAATACTCCTTTTTTAGTTTCACAATTTGAATCATAAAATTTTAGGTTATTAGTGATTGAATACTGCTATTCAATATTTGTATTAAATTTTAATTTATATTAAACTTCTGGAAAAGGTAACTGGATTTATAAAAATTTAATATCAAAACTGATATTGATTTGATGCATCATAATAAGTAGCTGACATTCAACACTCAACACTATTTCTCTTTTCCACTCTGATCCCAGTGAAGCTGTCAAACTCCTTTATCATTAGCAAAATATGGCAAAATAGTAAGCGTCGCTTGTTTAGGTGAGACTCCCTACAGAGCTAACTTTGTTACATCATGCCTATGGGTATTTCTATAGTCACTATTTGCACTAGACCTATAGCAATTATTTTAAAACGCTCCCACAATTGTGTCCACTCACACTAATCTCAGGCTGAGAGTTCTCCATGAGCTGATCAATCCTGTTCCAAGCTAACTAATGGGAAAGCCCAGAAATTATAACCCATGCCTGTTTATTATTATTTCATACAGGTACAGTAGTCTTTGACTTACATCTATTTGTTTAGTGACTGCTTGAAGTTGCAAATGGCACTGAAAAAATGACTTATGACCATTTTTTTTACACGTATGACCTCCCTGCCACATCCCTATGAACACATGATCAAGACTCAGCCACTTGGCAACTGGTGTTTATCCTGGTTGCAGTGTCCAAGGGTCATGTGATCACCATTTGCGACCTTCTGAACAAGCAAAATCAATGGGGAAGCCAAATTCACTTATGAACAACCACACCAGTGATTCACTTAACAACTGTGCCAAGAAAGGTCATAAAATGGGGCAAAACTCACTTAGCTATTGTCTCAGAAAGCAACATAAATTTTGGGGACAATTGTGATTGTAAGTCAAGGACTATCTGTATTTTGCCCATATAATTAGCAGAGCTGGAGCTGTCACTGAAGGATGAATTACCATGCTGTGCCTCTACTCAACTGGAAAAAAAAAACTATTAAAATTTCGGAGGTTTAAGTTACACTGGAAGGAAGAAGAGTCTAAAAGTTGAAAGAAGGTAAATTCTGTCACCAATGGGAAACATGTATCTCCAATATTCAGATTGCAAACCAACTGGCAGCAACTCCTTTGTGACATAGCAAAGTCGTATGTTAACTGTCTGTAGCCCAAAGATGATAACAGTACGTGATCAGAAAAATGCAGAAACAATTCACGAACATATCCCTTGAATGGAGAGACACTGGATTAATCCATAACATAGTCCTTATAGGCTGCTTGGAATCAACCATTGGTACAGAGTAGAAACAGGAATTCTATATTGGAAATGTGTAACAACCACACTTAAACAGGTTCTTTTAATATTTGCTTATATATCACAGAGCAAAAGATAGATGATAGGCAGAAGAGAGGCAGATAAAATATATATAAGAAGGTTGGCTATAATGTTTTGGTTGTGGGTTCTTTTGAGTCTATTGCAATAATTTAGTCTTGGATTCTGCTGCTTCCTGCTCTATTCCATGGTTTTAGTTGTCCTAGTGTAAGGATAGTTTTTAATTTATCAGTTTATAGTTTAAAAAAATGTCTTAAGGATTCTAAAGGATTTGCCAAGATACCAACTTTCTAAATAAAGACTAAATAAAAACACTTCGAATGCTTTGTTGTCTTCTGTATTTTATCTACCTTCAGTTGTAGCTTGTCCTTCTAGAGGTGGTCCTTCTCCAGTTCTGTAGGAAGCCAAGACTGAAATCTTGTACTTAGTTTCGGGCTGAAGGTTTTTTAAGACAGTATTTACTACATTTCCAGGAACTGTGGTTTCCCCAGACTGGTCATCATAAAGGGATTTCCATAGAATTTTGTAATTCTGAACTGGTCCTGGAGCTGCTGTCCATGAGATTCCAATTGAAGTATCAGTTATGTTTCCAGTAATGAGGTCACGAGGAGAACCACGTTCTTCATGAAAGGAGGGAAAAATGAGAATTGTTATGGTCAATCAACACATGCTCCAATAAAATTAAAACAGAAAAAAATGAATTGCCCTGAAATGAAATAAAAAGCATCTTGTTGACTTCATCGATATATTCATACAATTTCCTTGTGTAACAAGGGTGAAACTTGGGAGATTCCACATACCACAAAAACTATTCAGAAAAAAATTCGACCTCACACAAATACAGCACCTTTCTCTATTCATTAAGTCTTTTTTTCAGGTTTTTATACGAGTTTAAAGAAAGGTGTTGCTGCTTTAAAAAATCAAACATCTAAGAAGTCTGAAAAACGTCTTGACAATTTAATGAATAGTAGAAAATTCTTGTGATTCAGAACATAAAAGGCTCAAAGCATTTCTGAATTCTTTTCAAACCATGTATAGCCACAGTAGTTAATCACTGTCTTTTCCAGAGCATTTTTTCAACTTTTCAGTCAAGCTTGTCACCGTAGTGTTTAGTTTTTGCAAAATGCATGAAGGTTGACTAGATGCTTCAAAAATCTTATGCCAGTCAAGATACTTTAATATCAATAATTAGAGTTCTGAAAATAAGAGTACAAACTATAGGAATAGTGATATTTACATGATTATTTGTCACCATGCACAGATTGTCGTTTTGACACTATTGTGTTTTCCCCTATTAGTGTGATCCACTATTGTGGATGCTACTAGCTATTGCTTGATGATTTGCACAAAAAAATTAGACTCTACATATATCAAACAGAAATGTAAAGGTAACATTTTGTAGTAAGGTTATATGTATTACATCTTCATAAAGGTTACAATCAAATTCATAACAATATTCATAGCAATATGAATATAGGTTGACCTGATATAGCTGAAAGTTTTGAATTTGGCCTGTTGTACATTAAAATCCCATTAAATTAGTTGTTAAATGAAGGTTTAATTCTGAAACTCAATCTCAAGAGAGTATTTATTACTTGGAAAACTGAAAGAGATCAGATTTCAGGTAACTTGCGTCAGATATTTTTTTTTCATTCTTTTGTAAAGCTTCTGTTTCAAATGTGGCTTTTTCTTTTAAATAAAAGGATGTGAATGCAATCCAAATGGAAAAAACTGGCTTGATAGAATGTGCTGATGTCTTATAACAAAAAATATTTCTTTCCGTATGTTAATATAAACAGATAAACTACGTTACATTGGCTACTTTACTTTGAATAGCTTTCACAGAATGATTTTAATATTAAACTACCGCATCTTCAGACAGTATAAATTTTGAACCATTAACTCTGGAAGGGAATTCTGCATAACAATACTGTAATACTGCAGGGTTGTATCCATTGTAACATTATCCTGGCAAAAATGCATTAATGGTGTCAACAATACTAAATTGGTACTACTAGGTAACTGGAGACAGTCATTTATTGGCAATAAAGTATAACCCATGCCTATTACTCTCCCCACTCACAGGCCCTGCATAATTTTTTGGTTAAAATAATAAAAAATTGGATTTTTCCAAGCAAGCCACAAAGTAGAAAACAAAATTGAATAAGCCCTTGACCCCAAACAGGTTTTGTATGGAAATGTTGCTTTCAATTTCTAAGAAAGTACAATGTAACTGCAGTGATTTCAGCTTCAGTGCAGAAAATAAGAGTGAACTAATATACTGTATATTTACTCCCACTTCATAAAAACAACTATAAAATTATTTGGCAGTTTAATGGTAGGCATATGCCAAGCACTGAATGCATACATTGTTTTGAAGAAGTTCCAATGGCTCATGGATTAGTTTTCCACATATGCAGATCATTACATGCACCTCTACTCTAAATTCTTTTTAGCCTGCTGAGTTAGGAAATAAGAGGAACATGGTCTTTACAGCTGTGCTATTTACTTTTCCAAGTAGCCTTTCCTAAATTGAGGGCTTCGTGATTTTATTACATCCTTTATTATAGGAGTTGAAGTCCAAACTTCTAGAAATCGTGCACTGGAGAAATTGGCTATTTCACAATTTATCCCTTAGGATACTATTGGGCTGGCTATATTACAATGTACAATCGAGGAGGACTACCCAAACTTGCATGCATTTTGCTTCAAAACCTAGGCCAAATGGCACATCAAGCAACCAAGTATTTAAAAAACAACAAAGCTGGAAGCGGAATTTTATTTAGTCTTAGGAATATAACGTGATTGTCCATTAGACCTATGCCTAGTTTAAAAGTTGCTGAGTTGATTATGTGACACACAATGCTCTAATGCTGAAGTGGACAACCCCTGTCACCCATCTGCACCCTCCAAAGTAGCCCAATTTCAGCAATTGAGGATCCTAGGAATAGCCTGAAAAGTCACTATATGAGGACGGTTGTTCTGCGTTCTTGGGTGTTACCTGCTTATTTTACAGGTTTATTTTACTTATGTTTGACTTTTTAAATTGTCATGAAGTTTTTAACTGTTATGTTGCACACTGCCGAGAGACACTTTTTAAGGAGATGGGGGGCATTAAAATATAATAAAAATAAATAAATGTGATTTCAAAATTGCACAACTCCTAAAAGAAAGGACAAGTTGGAATCACCCTTTCAATGACATCTGGAAGATCATAATCTCAAGTTGCAGTGCCTCTGTTCTAAACCAATGCCAATTCCTCCTATTACATCTCCCCCCCCTCCCTTTCACTGGTCACCACTTCATTCTATCTGATGGTAGGATCTGTCCAGACATTAAGGTAGGGAAACTGTGTTGGGTTTGTTGCAAAAACCTAATTTATAATTTCATGTTCATATTATATGAACACTTCCAAAATATCATATCACATCTATTGTTCCCATCATATTGACTCAAATACAGGAACTTCATTTAGATAGGGGTCATTTAAGTTTGGGGGGTTTCCTGGACATCACAACTGTTGCTTGAAGAGCAGGGGGCAGCTGTGGCATAGGAAGGCTTTTGTACAACTTTGTTTGGAGTGCCATTCGTATCTTTTGTTATATCAAGAGGCCATTCAGACAGCCAGGTATGCCATGGTCAATGTGCTTTACATGGGACTACCCTTGAAGACTAGCCAGAAGTACCAACTGGTCTAGAATGCCTGGGCAGTTATAGGCATGTCTCAGTCTGTCCATGTAGCAACCCTAGATCTCAAGTTGTACTGATTCTTAGTTAGCAATTCAAGCTGTTGATTGACCTACATGGCACAAGTCCTGATTACGTGAGGAACTGCATGTCTCCCATAATAACTACCTGACCAATTAGATCTTACGGGGTTGGCATGCTCCAGGTTCCTTCAATTAAACAATGCCATCTGTCTGGATTCCAGAAACATGTAGCACCTGCCCTCTGGAATAAGGTGCTTCCTGAAATTTGGATGGTCCCCATCCTATTGTTTACAAGAGTCTTAAAGACCTGATGGTTCACTCAAGTCTTCGGCGAGGAAAGGTGAAGATCGTTTGTTTCATTTCTGTCCCATTTGTAATTTTTACCATCTTTTATTTTTCTAGATAATGATAATTATTATTAAATTTATATGCTCCCCAACTGTGGAGTTAATTGTTAATTAGATTTTTCTTGTTTTAATTGTTGTGGACCTGGTGTCATTACAAATGTTGGCATATAAATGGGTGGGTGGGTGTGAGTGAGTGTGTGTGTGATAGAGAGAGAGAGAGACAGGCAGGCAGGCAGGCAGACACAGAGTTTTCCTTAGCTCTCTTCAGCTTATTAGGACTATAGCTGTCTCAGAACAAGAGTTGTGAAGAAACTTAGCCATTAATATTTACTATAACTAAATCATTCTTGGGAACATGTGGAAACCACAGATTTTCCTTAGCTATTTTCAGGAAAAAAAATTCATATCTTGTTCATGATTATTTAACAAAGTATACATGAAATAACCAGAAGCAAATCAGAGCAAACTTGCCTATTAAATTCATTAGTTTTCTGATTGCCTTAGATTTGAATTAAATTATATGTGCTGACAATTTTCAATATTAAAAAAACTAATAAAATAATTACTCTTCCCCAATAAGAAGCATAACAAGCACTAATTACTGTAGTTTTGGTAACCTAGCACCTTTGAGAATTTCAGACATTTCAAGGATGGGGAGAAAAGTAATGTAGAACTGTACTAGTCACAGAAAGTACAATATCTCCCACTATGTTTCTGGGCTTCCTTTCAGCATGCAAACCAACATGCTAATGAAAAAAAAGTCCCATTACTTCTGAGACTTCTGAACAAATTTTCCCATTACAGGATTGAAAATTTTGAGTATATTACGGGCACTCTGACAAACAATTGACTTGCGATTGTTAAAGCTGCCACTGAAAGTATAGGAAGTAATAAAAGAGGTGATATCTAGCTACCCATGATGCTCTCTACTACTCAACCTTTTTTTAAGAGGACACATTCTTCCACCAAAAGGTATTAGACTACAACTGTGCACCAGCTATATTTTGTAACATATTTACATAGCCAGTCTAGAGTCCGAAGTCATTTTCTCATGAGAAAATGTCAGAGGCTGGTACTTCGCTTTATAGGGTGCCAGCTTTTGTTTTTGCAAGTTTAAAAAAAAAAAACCTCCCATGTAATCCCATTATTTGGGGTAAAGTCAGGATGACTGGATGGAGCTGAGCATTTACTGGCCAGATGCCCTTCCTGACACCTATGCAGAGTTCGCAGCATATATTCTTTTCTTTGCACCTAGGAGAAAGAAACATCTGCCGCTGGGATTGAACTGTCAACCTTCTGAGTGGGAGGCAAGAGTCTTCATCACTAGGTCATGATGCCACTCTTATGGGTTTTTTTTTTAATTAAAAGAATATTTTTTTAAAAAATAAGTCATAGTTAGTTGGTAACTGCCAATAAATTATCCAGAGATACTATACATTGTGTTTATCCTTAGCTTAACCAGTAGAACAAATTCAGAGCTGTCATGCGGTGAATATTATTCCATTACCACACAGTATTCTAGCAACTGTGTAATAAGTACTTTTTAAAAAATATTTAGATGAA